TTACGACGGGGAGAGCTTTCACCGCACAGAAATTTGTCAGTAGCCCAGTTACGGAGGAAGCCTCCAATAAATCACGAGCACAATACCCTTGGACTGGCAGATAAATGAGCGATACCGAGGAGAGATAGATGGAAGGGGAGCAAAAAGCAGCATTGTGCGACGGCAGCACCGCGTAAAATTCAAGGTCTCCGGATCGGTCCCCCGGCGTCACATGCCGAGCGAAAAAAACGTCATCGTCGTCGTCGCAGAGGGTAGACTTTGACCCAGGCCACCGAGGGCCTCGTCCGCTTCCGCCGTCATCGATATCGGGGCCAAGGGTGGAGCGCCACGCCCTCGACTGTTGTCGACGGGTCGTTTACGATCGCACGATCCATCCGTCCGTTTCTCGTCGTCCTTCGTCGAGTAAAGGCCATAAATAAAGGCATTACCGCGAAACGACGACGGAGCGATCCGAACGATTTTTTTCGCGGCCCAGAAAGAGAACTCGTAAGACGCGCGCTTCCCTTCTCGGGGATCCTCCCTCGACCCGAGAAAATGCGACTCGGTCGACGGGAAGTGCATCGAACTCCAAGAGTGCAGAGAGGGGAGAGATTGGCACACGTGAGATTGCGTCTCGGCTATCTCGTCCAGATCTGGGGAGGTACGAAGCCATGAAGCCCTCGCTTCGCTGGCTTTTCCTTCCGTTCTCCCATCCACGCCTTTTTATTCTCTCCCCGACTTCCTCTCCTTAATTTTTTTAATAAAATGCCCCCAAAGGACATCGCGAGACGACACCGATCGCTATCGTTCCAGAAGCGTCGATCGAAAGCGAGGACGAAGAGATCGAGAGAAGCCCAGAGGGGAAGGTTTTTTTTTTTCCATCATCCTCTACAAAGGTCGCCGATGTAAACCTTTGAGGCTTCCACGTCCATCAGTGCTTTTAGACCCATGAGGGCATGCACCACATGCATGCACCACATTCATGCACCACAATCCGATCCGGACTTTTCGTCTAAATATACGTTCTGCCTTTTCTCTCATCGAGGAAAGCCAAAATGTACGACAGAGTCGGTCCAAAATTCTTTTACAACTCCACGCTCAGGGTTCCGTCACCGCCATCAGCGAAAAAAAAAACCGAAAATATGAATAGTTAAACAACAAATTGAACAACGAGTATATCCTCCAATAAATTTTGCTACATCGTTTGCGCGATCGAATCGTTTGGGCACCGTGCCAAAAAGTGATTTATCTTAGCACTTAGTTATCCCTTATCTGCTTAAAGTTATAATACGATGATGGATCGAAAGCCACAATATCTCCGATATTCGTGTTTTGATTTAACCCGTCAGATCTGCAATCTCAAGAAAATGAAGCCGCGTCCACGGTTTGAAGGCATGGAAAATTAGGCTTCTTGCACTAAATTTTCCCTGGAGTTCTTGGCCTCGGAACAAAATCGAAAAGCCTGAGATACGTCTAGAGAAGAATTCGAGGATTTGTTGCAGTCGAAGCTCACTCGACGTCAGAAAGAAGCCCCAAGCTATCGCCGAAACTCGGTTCGGGTTGGTTCGCAAGGCGGTCGAGAGTCATTCCGATGCGAACAAGCTATTAAATAGTGCTGACCTCTACGTTACGACGGCGTACGATAGCGCTCGATGCCGGATTTGGCCTGGATTCCACGTACTCGCAAACGCTTCCACGGCGACGGACGGACGGAGGGATAAATCTGGAAGAGGTAGGCGGATGACGCAACTTTCGCGGGGGTCTCCACGTCCTAATGGATGGGTCGTATTCACAATCTGACAGGTTCTTGCTTCACGCGCGTCACGTCTCCTCTCGATCGGGTCAGGATTTAGACCTAACCCCGACCCTCGTTCCCGTCGTCTCCGCATCGCTTCGTCGAGATTCCCACCGGGTTCCACCGTCGCGGCCGTTTTTCTCGTCTCGAGGAAGACGGAAAGCATCTGCGGAAAATCCCTACGAGGAAATCGGAGCGCGTTTGCCGTGCGACACCGCGATATTCGTCGCGCGACGACGATCGGGTTAGAAACGGCGGGAAAACAAAACGAGGCGACAGATGGGGACGAAGGAGGAGGACAAACATGGGAATGGAATGAGTTTGGCAGAACTCGAGGATATTATGGGAAATGGTGGGAACGGATCTCACGCCATTTCGTGGTTTCCTGCTTCTGATCCTCTTCTTCCATGGTACACTGCACCTTCGCTCCTCTCGTGCCTATGCACTCTGGCATTCCCGAGTCGCGCCCGGTTCGGTTCATCATCCCGATGAACGAAGTTCATATAGGGCGCCCGGGATCCGTCGACTGCGTCGTTCTCAGATTTACCTTTCCCACGCACGGGTAGTTTAATTATCGGCCGAAGAAATTTCTCGTCATCGTAGAAGAAAATCGCAGGGGTTTCCGCCGCGATTAATCATCATCCTACGCTCGTGAGCAGGTTCTCAGAAACGATTCGCAAACAATTGCCTACTGTTCTAAACGGCCGACAAGTGTGTCGTCTACGGACGGCTTTTCACGAGGGTGAGAAAAGACCCGACTCCAATTTTCATAACATGAACATATACGACCGTCCTGAATATGTTGAGCCATAAAAGATGACACTTCTCACGCTTTCTCCCTGCTCGAGTCCTGCTGCAAGCTCGTTCTGCATCTCTGTGAAACCGGCCAGTCTCGGCACGGTAACTCTCAGGCTTTACAGAGAGCGTCATTAATTTCCCCGCAAAAAAATGCAAGACCCCCCCCCTCCATTGAGTCGAGAGAGCACATGCGGGATGCGAACCGTAGTCGGTGCATCCTTGCGAAACTATCTCTTCTCGTCTAGCACTCCTCTAGAACCATTCGCGATAAGCACAGAACAAATCGACTTTCGCCCTACATCTACGACAAAACGCGATCGGAGACGAGCTCGTGTCGATCTTCGAGTCGACACCGTCGCCGAATTCCGTCTAGGACCGATTCGTCAACGAGATATTCGTTCAGCACCTCGATCTTTCTCTATCTAAACTCATACACTTCCCCCCGTCTTCATCCTTCGAAAATGGAATATGGGACCCGGAGGCAATCAACCAAGACGTAGTCTCGGTTCACCTTTGGCGCGTCGGAGACATCGAAAACAGAAGGGGCACCGCGACCGTATTTTGACGATCTACAGCGGATGATTAAAAAAAATTGTTTTGCTTCGTCACCTCGAGAGCCATCTCCGCTCTACATGAAAGTTCCATTTGAAAATTAATCACATTTTCATGTACCTTCATCGTGCAAAATCTCGTCAGGATCTGAAGCGACGTCACAACCGAACGAACCTTCAAAGCGTGGATATTTCTCCCAGCATTTGAATATTTTCTGCAAACTGACGAGAATCGATCTGCCTTTACTCGAGCGATCGACTACCAACGAGGAGCGTGCAAAATTCTGCCCGTTGGCGTATTAAAAAGACGACGACCATCCGCACTTGAACTGGAAAATGAGCCAAAACCGGCGCTCATAGCCACTCCCCGAAGCGCGAGACTCCTAAAACCGATTGATGACCCGGGGCCCCCCAGAAAACGCGGAAATCCCGGCCTCGTCAAGGAAATCAGGTAGGAATACTGAAAAAGCGGAGAGGAAGAGAAGGCAAGAAGCCCAGTCATGACCGCATTACAGCTGGAGGGTGCCACACCTATATAGGCAAGGGTCCATGACCTCCTCCACGCACTCACGCACACTCGCGTTTCTACACACGCCGCACGTGAACAGCCCCGGAGCCCACAACCTAGGCTCCAACACTCACGGATCTTCGCCGTTCCCTTCCCCCCATTCAACGCCCATCATCATGCCACACGGAAAAAGGGGAGGCCGAATAAACGGGACTTTATTTCATTTTATAGAGATGATGGCTGTTTCTTCATGCACTCTCGTCTTTGACCCAATTCTCTATCGAAACACTTGGCAGAATCATTTAATAAGGGGTGGAGAGAGATGTCTACGTTCTATTCTCTCTCCGGCGGGACGAATCGATCCCATTCCATCTGCACACGTGGTGAGAAAATCCCGTCTCACGCACGAGCGCGTGTATTTCACGCCCCGAGTAAGACCAGACATCCTGCTCCCGACAGCTGCCTTCTGCAACGAGGAATACTGTTTTCTTACCCCATTTCCCAGTTACACATGTCTACGTGTTGCAGCCAAACGTGATCCCTGACGCATCTGGAAGGTTTCATGCGGAAGCCATCGTCGGCAGTAGCAATCGGCTGACTGGTTATAATAATCTGCGACATCTCGTCCACGGCCAAACCAGGAATTTTAAATCGAGAAAATAAAAATTAGCCAATCACGACCGGGGACAAATTGCATCAGCGAATGAAATTCGATAAATTCATAGCAGGAAAATTGAAAAGTGATATCATAAGTTCATGAAAGGTCAACTAAACCTACACGTAACACGAAAAACTTGTATAAAAAAGAAACGACACGAACGGGAGGAAACAGAGAGGCGATATCGGAATGTGGCTTTTCGCTATTGTAATCAATTTTTATTCATGAGTCGGATGTTTCCGGAATCCCTGCGATGAAGGGAAGGAGGGACGCAGGCATTACGATGGGTAAGAGAGAGAGAGAGAAGGTTGGGTCGCATCTCTGTCTTTCCTCCGACACATGCAGTTAAAAGGTCAGCCGGGGGGTATTCTTGGACTCTTGCCAGTGAACCTCTCTCTCTCTCTCTGGACCCTCCGGGGGTCCTTATAGAGGAAAAGGGCATCGTTGCATCATTCCCTCCCCCCTCATGCTTATAATACAATAAACAGATATGTCTCTGCCATGAACCTTTCTGCATCGTTAGCATCCATCGTGTGGGAATTTCTGGACTCCGTAAATCGCGACGGTCATGATATCGACGGACAGGAATTCACGTTGCGCAACCCACCCCCTCGTTCCCGTCGTTACTATAGGACTTTTGATCCTCACCTAGTACACGTGTTCGAGGCCGAGGTCCGAAGAACATCCGGATATGGACAGGGGAGGGGACTTCTACAGGTTGTTGTTATTCTTGGAGGCCCGTTTCGCATACATGGCCGGAGGCACCTCCTGTCGCTCGATTTCATCGCCGGACAAGTCCAAATCATGCACCATTTGAAGGATCTCCCGCTCCTTTTTCATGTCCTCTTTGAGTCCCAAGGGCGGAGCTCCCCCATCCCCGTTCGCCTGGGGGAAGTGGAGATTCGAGAGGGAGCCGTAAGACCGAGAACGATGCTCCTGACGAATGGAATAGGAGAAGGCACGCTCGTTCAGATGACCTTTCTTCTTGTAGATTCCCGTGTTGAAGGGCGATTCCATGGGCGGGACCATATCCTCTCGATGATGTTTCTTCTTCTTCTTCAACTTGGCCGGTCTCTCCGTCGTCGCATATTGGAAGTAGTAGTCTTCGTGGGGGAAGTGAGCCGGTTGATAGGACGCCACTGGGCTCATGGGTCGGGCCGATGGCATGTAAATCGGCTCCTCCATGATCCTCGAAGGAGGTCGCCGAAGTGGAGGCCCCATCATCATCATGGGCGGAGGAGCCATGAAGGGATGATGGCCGGGAACGGGGACCATGGGGCCCGGCGGTGGAGGACCCATGAACACCGGCGGGATGGGACGAGGCATGAGCCTGGGTCGACGCTCCGAGTACGTGCCCACCACCATGGGTCGTCCACGACCCGGTGGAGGTGGGGGAGCCATGAACGGACCGTGACCGTTCATCATGGGACCCGGTCGCATCCCTGGACCATTCATGACACTCGACGGTCGCCCCGGTCCCGGCACCCTCATTCCTAATGGGGTTCCGTTCATTATCATCATCCCATTCGTCTTCGGCGGCGAGAGCTTGCTTTTCTTTTTCTTATCCTTCGTGGGCTTCACCATGGTTTCCGGCGGGGGTGGGGCCGGGATCGGTGCTGCCAACTGTCGAGGTCTCGATCCGTTCGATCTCAGGCTCCTCAGGGTACTCCCTCCGTATTCGTAGATGGTTTCTTTTTCCCCTCCAGCCCAGACCTTGTGGTTGTCGTCTCCGTTGTAGACGGAGATCTCGTCTCCCGTGACGTCACCGTTGGGCACCACTTCGGACTTGACCGAGGGGCCCCCGGCGGCACTCATGTCATCCGAGATGTCGAGGTGTTCCTCGATGCTCTGGGTCTTCGTGGGGCCGTTGCTCAGGGTCCCGTACACGCTTCCTCCTTCGATCTGCTTCGCGTACATGTTGTCGGCATAGGCGTGGAAGCAGCAGCGGACCAAGGCGTTCGCCGGGGCCTCTTTCTTGCAAATGAAGGCATGGCACTCGAGAACTTTGATTCCCGTCGTCCGACGGAGGATGCAGGCGAACAGAGGGGGATGGTTCAAATTCGGGTTCCTGGCAAAGGGGGAGTCCAACGGAAGGAATCGGGGTACCTTCTCGCCCGTGGAACCCGGAACCACGACGAATCTCACTGCAGCACAATAATGAAGACTCTCGATCGGGAAGAACCGGGACAACTTTTTGTTCCGCTCGTCCACGTTCTCCAAGAGCAATCCGTTGCTCCACACACTCAGCCAGGAATCTATGCCCTTGGCACCGGAAGCACCTTGTTCTGGGTAGAGTTCCTTCAGGGGTTGCTGAATCCCCTGAAGCCCATCTTTTGTGATGTGAGGGACCGCCGACCCCAGGTAGAGGACCCGACATCGACAGATCGGTGTCGGTTCTTCCTTTTCCGACATGGTCGGGCGAGGTGGACTCCCTTTCGACATTCTCATTCGTTTCACTCTTTTGCCACGACCCACATTTCAAGCCGTATATCTGAAAGACAAAAAGGCGCATGTCATGAGACTCCGACGAAGAAGGCGGGGATCCAGCTCGGCAACAAGGACGGAGGTCATTCAAGGAGTTCCGAGAAAAAGCTCAGCTAAGAAATCGAGACGTCTATTTACGAATCTAACTCGCCTCGTTTCCCTCTAATACGACCCATTTTATGGCTCAAGTACCCGGAGCCACAAAATGGCGTTCTTGCGAGCAACGTGTCTGCAACCCAAGTCGCCGAACGAGAATGAACGATGGTGGTTCGTTCGCATGAGATATACGTCCCTCGTTCGAACGTGCTCGACTACAGCGAATGAACGATCGTGCCGGTACTGAAAATGTCGTAACGCTAACATATGCTTAGCCTAACCCCCCACCGCTAGCGAAATGAAGCAACGCCGACTGATCGGTCAAAGTCGCCCAATTCGTCGGCGCATCTGGAAGAACTTTAAATAGTCACGGTACCAATTTGCACACACTGCGTCCAACCGATACCACCGGTCAGTGAACTTTTTCGCCGGTACACACGGAAGAAGCGGGCTTCAAAGCGGCACGAGAGGGCCAGAAGAATCACGTCGCAAAAGGCTGAAATAATAGCACTGAGGAGTCACTCTGATGTCGCCACACCGAGGAGCCGAGGCGTGACGCACCGAATCATAACGGGTGACAAAATTCATCATGTCGAAAGCGAGTGAGACACTTTCAGCACTCGAGACACCCGAAGTTGCGCCATGGAGCCGTAACAACGCAGGAAGGCCGGATCCGGAATGCAGTGAAGAACCGCTGTTGGCCTGGACCGAAGAGAACATCCGTGGCATTCTAAAAACTGGCCGCGAGCCACTCGAGAAACTCACCTAGACGGGTTTTTTCCTCCTCTAGCCTCTCCACTCTACGGCCTGGCCCCGTAAACACATGCATCGGCATTGATTAGCCTCCAGCCATTGCATTCCACCGAGGAACGGACCAATCGGCGTCACCGTTGCAGAGAGCGGACCAACGAGAAGCGCCGAGACATACGAGCATCCCGTGGCCCGCAGCAGGCATGGGAAGAGTCTGAGACGAGACAACGACCCCATCCCCTCGGGGCATTTTCACCTCAACATCCCCTGTTGTGGTGATTGTGGTTCGTCCCTCTCTCTGCATTTCATTCATGAAACTTTTCTTCTCCTCGTACCTTTCATCGGATGATTTTCCTCGAGCCACAACGCCTTCGCACGACCCTTTAACGAGGAAAAAAAATCTCCTGTTGTTCGTCTGCGATGATTGACCGCTGCCGGAAGGAGCTTCACGCATCTTCGAGGCATCGAAGAAGCAACTACGCCCAGCTGCTTAAAGATGAGAGGAAGCAGGAAATCGAGGCCAGAACCGGCAAGCCCCGGTCGATGAGTGCGTCGAAGTCTCCAGCCTTCATGATTTGTCACGGGAATTCAAGTCTCCAAGTCCGCGTCTAAAATCTCATCTTTATGCATTGTTTGTGAAAACCCCTTTTAACTAAGGTGACCGGATTTGTTTTTTCCCAGGAAAAACCGGGACATTTTCAAGAAAATGCCGGAATGACAGTCCCTGCAATAGAAAAAAAAAAAAAACTGGGACAACAGAATGGAAAGAGAATTTCAAACCGTAACGTCTGGTCACCCAACTTTTACCTGAAGTTTGAATGCGTTACCATGTAAATATAGTTATCGATCCGGTGCAACATTAAGTCATTCGAGAATTGAAAAGAATGCGGAGAACCACTCCATCGATATCCTTGCGAACAATCCAAACCAATTTAACGGAATTTTCTAGCCTTCTAGCCCGCATAATTATACTGATTTCACAGGATGGCAACGCCTACACGTGAGAGCCCATTCCGAGGTACAGAATTATCGCCTGGAATGGGACCGATAACCGGAGCGGTTCTCTCAAAAGACAGGGGATGTAAGACGCCATAGAAATGAGATATTTATCGGATTAATGGGAGGCCGATTTGCATGGAATCCATGGCATGTATAGGACGACCGTGGGGGAAGGAAAAGCCGGCGATTAGCGTGCCTAAATGGTTTCAAGATCGATCGATTGTTTCCCGATCGTATATCATCTTCCGTATCGGACATCGTAATGTGTTTCATTATCCCCCTGCCTCCAGAAGTTAATTTTTTTTCATACGCTTGTCATGATTCGTGCATCGGGAATTTACTGGAAGAAAAAATAATCAACATATGATGACGATATTTGGACCGAACTCAGGCACTTTTGGTTCGTCGCGATCTAAATCTGCATGCAATCACGCAAGAACGGAAGAAAAAAAATCCCTCAGCACGCCTTCCATAAACATGAAGATTACGGACTCGGAAGACAGCCAGGGCTAATGCAACGGTCGTTGAGAGAAAATTGCACAGACGTACTGTGGGAAGTGCTCAGAGAGAAGACGTGATAGAAGATACGTTGATGTGATGTGGCAATCCGGTAATGGGCCATTGTTTGTTTCCCCTTCTCCAAAATGGTCAACACCCTTCCGACCTTTCTTTCTCTCTCTATTCAGCCCTTTCATCATTCTTAGACGTTCAATTTACTTTTTCCTCGTCATACAATTTCGCTTCGCGATCCCCGGATGAGAGTCGAGGTTTCCTGTCGCTGAAATCCATCTTTTGAATTCGTTTCCTGCGTGATTCACTTGCTCATTCTCTGCGTTTCATTCGTGTTAGAGATAGTCTTCGAACGATGTCATAATTTATGCTGCTTTACATTAATATATATTTTTTTTTTTACTGGAGCTTTTCCTTTGCCGATCGACAAAAGGGAAGTTAGGACATTTCAGGGCGGAATGAGGAAACGTACGCGTCGTCTGTTCGACGTCGAGACGTCTGTTCGCACGGTCGAAACCCGGATTTAAAAACGCATCAAGATGCGAGACCGGCGTCGAGGAAGGAAGACATCTCCGGCGAGGTGAAGCGAAGAGGTCTCACTTTCACCCGGTGGGAAGGAGCCTCCTTCACGACATCATCATCGGGTCCTCTGCGAAGTCTCACGGAGTGGGAGGTGGAGGATGATGAATAGGAAACGGAAGCCGGTCTCGATGAGGCGTCGGTTCTCTTCCGCGACCGATGGCGGCCCTCCGCCTCGCATCTGCAAACAGGGAGGGAACTGTTTGAGTTGGGGGTGAAAGTTTCCCGGCTGGTTGTTTGCTCTCGAGGATCTCATTTCAAGGGAAAGAAATCAGTCGCCAAGTGCTCCTTTTTTCCCGACCGTTCGAGAGAGAGAGAGAAGGAAAAAATTAAACGACAGCCACAGGTGGTACTTCCTCTAATTTTCAAAATTGACGCCCTACCCTGTTTTATCCCATTGTGTTTTAGCAAGATTGATATATTTTTAATTCATGATTATATCTTCTCTTTGAAGCTCTTCTATTCCCCTATATTCCCTTGATCACACCCTAGTTCCATTATTGCGTTTCATACCTTATAATTTTATTCGTATCTTTTTTATCTTAAGACTGTTCTTTCTCCTCATGCATACCAGCATTTCTTTCCCCTCCCTCTGTCATCCCCATAACAATAAGCAACCATTAGATTTTGAATAACCCTAGATGGAGTCTGTCTCCGTTCGGTTAGTCTGTGTGCTACTTAACGCTGTCACTGCTACTCCGCACGGAATTTCTCATCGATTGAGAGAAGCGAGCCCACGGAAAGAAATGTACAAGTCAGACACGGTCTCTGTGTGATGACACGTCTCTTCTCGCCACCCACACATAATCATCGCCACCCTCGGCGTAGATAAAGATCTTTGCATGCCATTCATTCTCTACGCCTCTTCCATTGAGAAGACCTTAAAGTGGCAGTATCTTTGTGTTCTGCCAAAATGGCTAAAATTTCGTTCGAGGTGGGAAGATTACGTCAGCCGCTCGTAACTTGGGTCCCGGCTCTCTTCGTGCATAAAGAAAAAGAGAAGGAAAACGATGGACTGAGCCCATATTGTTCCTCCCCCTCCCGGTTGCATCACGGTCCTCGTCAGCCCATTAACGGTCGTGAATCAGGTATCATCAGCCCATTACCATCACACTACTTTTCAGCATACCGTGACTGAGCAGGCGCGATGAAAGAGAAAGGAAGAAGAGGATGATCCGCCTATGCAATTATGAGTTTTGCAATCGCTCTGTTAAAAACCAAAGGCTTTTTTTTCCTCTCTAGTGGGTCTTGTTATGAAAGAAAAAAAGAAGTAGGAAAAAAGCATGCGGTTTCGTTCTATCGAAATCTGCGGTCCCGTTTTATTGGGTGCAGTCTTCCTAGACCCCAAAAGACCTTTTGCACTTCCTCCTTCCACCCGACCTGTGGCCTTTCACCGCCAGTTGCCGACATCTACTAGGCGCGGTTTGAACTGTAGTATTTTAAAAACTGAGAACAGATGTCGCATGTGAGCGCTCTTCCTCTCGTGTCGAATTCGAGCTCCTTTCCCGTATAAGTTAGCGCTTAGCAACGAAACTCGAACGGGTTTCAGCATGGCATTTTGGAACGAGGCAAGAGGGTCTGCCTCCCTCGAGGACCACCGAATTCTATGATATCTCGTTGTTTTCGTCTTTTTCTGCAGCTTGCAATGCTGCAAGAATTAAATGCCCCTAGAATATCACGAGCGAGATTTTGCGGAAGAAGTGAGTAGGATTAGAATGAGAGGCTATGATGACTGAGTCGAACGGGGCATGGCTAGACCTAAACGCTGGTGCGTTTCGAGTCCAACACTATCAAGTGGCTACTGTATCGTTTCCTTCTGCACCATTGTCCACGGGTCCTGCAATTCTTCAACTCTTGTCGACTCGTAATTAAACGCAGAAACTAGAGGGGAAAAATCAACATGTATTATTCTTGGAAAGATCACGATGGAATCACGATGGATGCCATAAATATGTTTAAACTTTTTGAACCTGAGTGAGACAGATGACGATCTGTACGCAACCCTGGACAATATTCGGACGGTTTTACAT